AGGAGGAGGAGGAGGAGGAGGAGGAGGAGGAGGAGGAGGGGAAGGGGAAGGGGAAGAGGAAGAGGAAGAAGATTCTAGCAAGGTGTGTAAGGCAGGCAGTGATATACACAGATTTGCCTTCCAAGTGATTCCTGTGGAGATAATGAAAAAGAGAAACTGGGAGTGAACAAGGCTAGAAGAATTGGCGTGGACAGCATCTGCCAATGCTCATTTAGGTGGATCCCTCACGGACTTGTTGCAAGAAGTCAAAAAAAAATTATATTTAAAGCAGATTTTTAAACTACAGAACAAATACATTCAAAATAGTATTTTATGATGAAAACTTCAAATGTTTGAGGGCAGTGTGGCAACAAAACAAACATTTAAAAGCTGTGTTTGCTTAGAAGGGTCAATGCCTCAGTTAGTCTGCGAAGGAAGTTAAAGCCAGGGTCAGTGCTTGATGCCTCCATGTTCACCCTGTGTATGCAGCTTCTTTACTTTGGCTGAGGCACAGAGGTAATTCAGTGTCACTTTGGATTCTAGGAAGAAGAAGGCCTTGTAGGGCAGAGCCCATGCTTAGAAGAGGGAAATTACCCTTGAGGACAAGGAAAACTTCTTCTGAGAACCAGTCTCATCTCCTTGAGAGCTGACAGCTGTAGGCCTCCTTCAGCTCCTTTGCAGAAACAGAATTGACGATCAGCCAGACAGGACCCTGACAGTGACTGCAGAATTGTGCATGCCCACTACCCTCCGGCACCAACTTTTTCTCTATTTATAAACCCAAATTCATGTCGTTAACCAGAAGTTGGACCTGGGGTCAGGAACTACCTTTATTAATTTCTCTTCTCTGTATGGTCACATTAAATAAACCTCTCGCTACTTTCTACTATTTCCAATCCTTTCAATTGGCATATTAGAGATGAGTAGCCAACCCTAGCTTTTGGGAACCCAGGGTTTTTGCCTTAAAAACTTCAGTTATGACTTGATAGAACACAAGAACATAAACTTTTCTAAAAGGAAAAAAAAGTGTACTAGAAAGTACTGTTGTGACAATGGAATGAGGTCTCTTGGCTGGGAAGCTTTGAAGCTAGCAGAAGTTATTGATGTTTGATCCCAAAGCCAATAGAAGTTTCTGGAGACTGAAGGTATACAGCATGGGAAAGTGGGCAGTTTGCAGCTTCTGAGAAGGTCGAGGAAGTTAGAATCTAGCAAACAAGGAGCACTGGCCATCCAGATTCAGCCTGGTGCAATTCTGTTCTGCAACTGGTGTCCTCTGAAACAAGAACAAAAGTCAGGACCTTGAAGAGCAATCTAAAAGCCAGCCTGGGACTCTCCAAGGACAGTCCTGCAAGATCCTCAGCCAGCCACCTAGCAATGGATCTCAGGTCTACAACATGAGACAGTTCTCAGCCTCTCTGTGCCTCAAATGCTTCTTCTTTAAAACAGAGATCACCTGTAGCTCTTCTAGCAGAACAAAGATATTCTAGGGAGAGACCCTTGTATCCCTCCTTTTGGTTGTTAGACAACTGAAACAATGGCCCCCAAGGAACCAAATGTCTCAAAAGACTCATACTGACAGAAGGAAAATGTTTGGGCCTTGTTGCCAAACAGAGGAACTTGTCGCCTAGAAAGAGAGCTCATAGCAATCAGACCGCCCTGCTGGAAAGTTGGAATTCAGACAATGATGAGTCACAGATCTCGGTAGCACTACACCCTGACCAGAACTGCTTAGTTATGCATATGTCTTGCTTCCTATTTAAACCCAAACCTTTTGTTGGGACCTCAGAGGTAGACCTGGGTAGGATTTTCTGGATTTCCTTATTTTTCTCTCTTTCCAATATGGTTGCATTTAATAAATCCCTCATTTTTGCCTTTTGTCATTTTTTTTTACTTTAATTTGTTTATTGGGGACAAATGGTTGAGCCTAGCTTATTAGGGTTCTAAAGTCCCAAGTCCTAACTGTTACATTTCTAGCAACATGCCTACCGGAAGATTAAATAAATGTATAAATCTAACCTGCTTGCTGAATGAATGTATATTATAGGCTTAGTAAATATTAGAATACATTCATTCTACCTCCCATTTTATAAATTTGAGTGCTGAAGTCTGGAGAATTTGACTCATCTAAAATTTTGTAATTTTTATAGTCCTCTCTAGTATGTATATTAACAACAAAGTCACAGTTCCTTCTGTGTCTGGGAGGCTAAGCCAGCAGCTGCATCCAATTCTATACTGGCCCTGAGAGAGACTCAAGAAACCAGGAGGTCATATGGTCCAGTTTAACTTAAAAGGCAGATCCTAGCTCTTTGAATGTTTTCTTTGGAAACATTCTCTGATAAGGAGGATTGCCATAGAGTGAACATTATTCATCATCTAAACGTCCACCAGGAAATAGCAGAGCTGGAGGAGTCAGAGTGGCAGATGGGGAGGTGTGCTAAGTTACCACAGCAAAGGAAAACAAACTCCACCTGTTAGCTCGTGCACCCTCTATCTCTACATTGGAATAGCTAGCTGGGGGGTGTGTGTGTATGTGTGTGTGTGTCTGTGTGTGTCTGTGTGTCTGTGTGTGTGTGTGTGTCCTTCTTCTCTCCCAACACTGTTCTTGGTGATGCTTTTAATCCTGGAGCAGATGGCTGCAGCTGCTATAACGGCATCTGTTGCTGCTCTTTCACCTTCTAGCTTTGGCAGGAGCAGTTGGCAAGACAAGCTTGCAAGGTCTGTTGGTATCCAATAGTACTGCTATCTGTCAAATACTGTGTTGGGGGAAGGGTGGATATCTAGGCAGAGGAAATGCTAATGTAAACCAGTCATGATCCCTAGGGCCTACTTGATCCAAAACCCTTCTTCAGTGTAGTTCCTCTCATGAGATCAGAGATGTGAGAGAGGGTCATGGTGTGCTCTCTCACTTGTCACTCACATACAGGCTGGCCACAGAAGATGCTTGAGTTAAAAGAGGGATGAGTCTTTCAGATGGAACACTGAGAACCCACATCAACCCTCCAACCCCCACCCTGTGACCACATTTGGATGTTGACGTAAGGTTTAGATTTAAATAGAAGGCAAGAGGCAGTTATGATCAAGATGTGGTACATCCTTCAGTGACTCATCACTGCTTGGACTCCAGTCTCTCTACCCAGGTAGTCTGACAAGTTTTCAGAACTCTGTAATATTTCTTTTCTGGAGACTTGCTTCCCTTCTTGCTTGCACTAAGGCCCCAGGTATTCCTTCCAGCCTGAGACTCCTGGGAATTTCTAATTTCTTGGGGTGCACTGTTTCTACAGCCTGACGGTGAGATTTGAGGGCATGAGCAGTATCTTCCTTCCTGCCAGGATGTGATCTTCATCTCTGTTCTGTTTGCTACACCTTGGGAAAGATGATTACTATAGAGTTTTGTTTTCCACTTGCATTCCCTGTAGAAGCCAGATTTGTGTCTCATATACACTGAGATCCGGGTTGTTATTTATCATCCAAACCAGAGAAAACCACCAGAATATGTGCATCTCCTTGGTGAGTGAGCATTCCTGCATGGAGGCTTTGCTGCCAAGCTCACATCAGGGGTCAAGATTAATGGATGCTGAGCCAAGCCCTCTGAGAAATTGTGAATTGAAGAGAAGATCTTCTCCACCACCTCACTGCCTTTATCAAATTACTACAAGAGAAGTCTGTGAGCCATTAAATTGCTCTCTCAGTCATTGTTGGAAATCAGAAGAGACCTGGCAGTTATGGAGTAAAAAGCCAAAGCTTAGCAAGAGGCCAGTAGTTCCCAGGGACCAACTATCAGTTGACAATCCATGGGAGAAACAGCATGGGAATTCTTGAAGAAAACCACTTTGATGACATTACACAGAGGATCTAAGGGAAGATAGTATATTTCTCTCAGATTCCTCAATTATTTATTTAATGTCCAACTGGGGCACTCTTCTTCAGGTGGCCTCAGAGAGGAAATGCTAGTCAGGACAGAAATGCAAAGCCAATAGGCATGAAACTCAATGCAGAGATATCGCATCAGAGGTGAGCCCATGTTAGTACAAAGAAGAGGAGTGCTCTGCTCAAAATCACCATGTGAGCATGCATCCCTGCCTTCTCTCTCACCCTGGTTTCTTATGCAGTGATAAAAATGAACAGACACGTCAATGACATAACTAGAATAGTCCTGGAAAATAGCAAGAAATGCAATCAGCAGACTCAAAAATGCTAACTAATGTACACTATCTGGAAATCACTAAAGAACAGAGGAAGAAGCCATTCCAGAGAAAGCATCTGTCTAACAGCCATTAGAGTACTGTGGGCCTTTTAATAAGGTCCCCTGCAAAAACTTCAACATCAAAACCACAAAATATAACCAAGCAGTCAGAGAAACTAATGCGGTGATCATCAGATAATTAGTCAAAGAGCTATATTTGGAACAGCTGGGTCCAGAAAGTCTCTTGCCATCATCCACAACTATAGAGCATCTGGTAAAACAGCTTTAGCTGGGAGGTTCAGCTCTGATAGCATTCTCTGAGGGGCAGCATGATTTCCCTAGGAAGAGTTGCCAGGGCAGTTTGGAGCCTGAAAGGAGAGAAACTCTTTGCTTATGGGTTAAGGGCTCTGCATTACCTATGGCCTGAAAAAATATCAATCAAAAAGAAGAAAGAGTAGGAAGGCGACAAAAGAATAGTGGCTGATACAGACTCACTCCTTACTAAGCACTGTTCTTAACAGATGTAACACGGTCATCCACTTGATTCTCATCACACAGTGAGGAGGTTACTATTGCCAAAGTGCTGATAGAAGTAAGGAAAGTGATATGCACAAAATTCCAGTTCCAGGACAATAATATTCATGACACCTGAGGAATCTGCCTTCCTCTCCTAAAATCGACACCAGCTGGCTGCACACAAGCAAAATATCCCTTCTAAATATTTGTTGGCTTTGTTGTACATTTCTGTTGGGAAGTAATATACATATGAATTGAGTGTGTAAAAATAAAAATGCATGCCAATTAATACCAAAAAATAAGCAAATGGATGTGTAATTGCTACCAGAGTTAAGAGACAGCACAGACAGAGAAGAAGCCTCACCTTCCCCAGTGTTCTCTGCAATCACTACCTCAGTCATATCCCTACCCTGGAGACAAGCTTCCTGCTGACTCCTCCCACTATGGCTTGGTTTTGCCTGGTGTTTGTTGTATTTTATATACATGAAATTATGAATTTTTATCAGCTTCACCCCGTGCCGAATTATATTTAAAAGCTTTAGGTTATAGCATGTCCACATAGTCTAAAGCATGTCCACATAGTCTATCCACGGTCAAGGCTGTGTCACATTGCTTTCTTAGGAACACACCACCATTTACTAACCAGTCTGAAAGGTATAGCTCCCATGAGTTTCTGAATGTGTGTCTTGGTTGATGTTCATCCAAACACATTTCAGTTGTATTCCTACTTGAGAGAGACGTCTCTGACTTTCAAATAACTGTGCCCAGGACAACTTGTAGAAATTTACATTTTCATCCATTATCCAATTGCATAATCATCTCACCAGATTTCCACAGTCTTTTTTTATTTTAGAGTTGTGAGTCTTTATTTCAAAACACTATGATTTTAACAAGATTGAATCTAACATACCGAGCTAGCTTATTTGTCTTTTTTCTCATAGGTTTTTATGATTTATCATACCCATGTGCACACCTCCAGAGAAAAGCCCTTTGTCCATTGTACATGTTGTGAATATGGTTAACATTTCTTGCTCTGTGATTTGCTTTTCCACGGACTTAATGGCAGTTTTTATTAAAAGCTTGGGTCAAATATTTTGCTTGAGGTTTTAGCAATGTATAGCAAAATTTCATGTGTGTTTCTGCTTTGGGCCAACAGTACCATTATATCAAGAGATGTACATTAGAGCTT